GATAATTCTTGAGTAAAATTCCACAGTTTTTGATGTGACTAATTGATTTTTTTTTTCTTTTTTTACAGTTTATCAACCCTTTGTGGGTTATTTAAAGCAAAAAAAATATTTGGGATTGTAAGAATAATTCTTTTTTGTTTTTGCAACCAAATATCACATTTACAATTTTCGAAGAATACCACTTATTTTTGTTTTGTTCTACTATTTAACCCATAGCTGGAGGGAGGCAATGGACTCGTACCTTTCCAAAGAGTATTTGAACGTAAGGAAATGTAATGGACCTATCTGGAATTTGAACTTAGCTCTCAGATTTCTCATTCCAAGCCATTATTCATTACACCACCTACATATCTGGATTTGATGTGAAAAAGAAAAATTTCAAAGGATTTTGCAGCGATCAAGAAAAAAAAAAGGTAATAATCACTTGCTACAAAGTTAGGTGAATATGGCAGATGGCATAGAGCAGTTCCAAAATTTTTCTTATGTTATTCTTGATGTATGCAGCCTCACATTGTTACGGATTGATTCGTTTTCTATGGCTAATCAAACTTTTGCAAGTTATTTAAAGCCAGAAAATATTTTTAGAGTGTAAGAAATTTACACTATTTATATTCTGACTTGTCATTATCCTTGTTGCTTTTATCACAATATTTCGGCAGTTGTGTCCTCCAACCTTCCTCAGGTATGTAAGAACTAGACAATATCCCTAGAAGGTGGAACGAGAACAGTCTACCACTATAAATTAAATTTGGAATTCCCAGATCAATATACACTTTCTAGAAAGCTTTCCTCTTTGGTAACTCAACTTCATGAAGTTAAGTGTAATATTAGATTGGCAACAAGCTCTCATCATTTTACTGTTGAAATTGTGAGATGTAACTGCAAGTTATATGTTAATAGTTTCTTCCCTCCAACACTTCTCATCTATGGCACTATTCAGCTTCTTGATTTCCTGTCAATTAAGATGTTCAAAAATTTAAATGAAATGCCAATTGTCATCTTCTGTCTCCTTTGAGACCTATTCTTTTTATTGTACTTTCTCTTCAATAACTTATTTTTCAGTTTCCTTGACTCTCAATAACCCCTTGCATCATACTGGCTTTATCACTTGAAGAAATGATAGAGAAAAATCATGCAAAATAAAATTTTCACATTTGCCTTGATAAAGTCCATCTGAGAACAAACTATCAACTAAGATTATTTAGTTTTCTTTTATATATATATATATATATATATATATATATATATATATATATATATATATATATATATTAGTTGCATTGATGTGAGATTGTGAGCCAGAGTTTAATGCCCTTTGCGATCATCAGACAAAGTGATTAATTTTGAAATGGTTGTATATATCGGTGTTTTATGGTAACGGGTTGTTTTATGTTGTCGAGTTTCCCCTCATATATACGAGTGGTGTTCCGATGACAAAAAAAAAGGAAAGAAAGAAAAGAGATTTCAGTCTTAATAGATGAATATATTCATGAAATAAATTATAACCAAAATGAATCTAAGATTTTCTTCATTATTATTATTATTATTATTATAATGCGCTGTAGTTTACACTGAGCTCTCCCTGGAATTATCCCTACCAGTCATAAATTGGTTATATATATATATATATATATAATAAGATAATATAATATATATATATATATATATATATATATATATATAGCTGGCCACTCAGTCAAGAATACCCATCTACTAGGGCAGCTAGCCAATCTCTATTGCAGACACTCACTCAGGTACATTTGTGTTTGCTCAAACCCACAAAGCCCACCTGTGGTTTATACTGCAACTATGCTGAGCAGACCTTAGTTACAGTTTCTGAGAGAGAGAGAGAGTGTTATCTAGCGCGATCAACAATTTTAACAAGGCCAGCACGCTCAAGCCCTCAGCCACAATAACTTGTGGCATCGTGCTAGCACAGCTATTGACGGCTCACAAGAGTTCCATCTACCCATTTTCAATCACAAGGCTTTGGTCAAACCATGGTATGGTTTTCAGACACTTTCCAAAGGTGCCAAATGCTGGGATTGACCTTAATCCAATCCGATAACATCAGGAAGTTGCCTTTCTGACAAATTGACCATGGTGAGATTCGAACCTGGGTATCATGGTCAGAAAGCAAATGTTCTAACCACACACACACACACACATATATATATATATATACACACACACACATATACACACACACATATATATATATATATATATATACACACACACACATATACACACACACACACACACACACATATATATATATACTCTATAGTCTAAGAAAAAACAGTGCTCACTGTTAAATAACAGAGCTATTTAATATATTAAAAAATATATATAATACTCTACAATGATGGCACAACTGAGTTTCATGCCTTCTGCAAACTTCAGGTGTGAACTTTTTGGGATTAACACTGGTTTTTTTAATATTTCTGATTATCGCAAGGTATTTTATTGTTAAGGTGGATTATTATTGCTGTTAATTATTTAAGTGAATAGTAGTTTTGATTTGAATTTAAGGCCAGATTAGCATTTAAGATTGAAAATAAGGTTAGAAATAAGAATTATAAATTATAATTTAAAAACAGACCCTGTTATCAACAAAGGAAAAAACGTTTGGAAATCAATATATTTTTTTTCATGAAAATCAATAAAGCAATTAATAATATTATTAATAAACTTAATAAAAGTAGTGATATTAATAATAAAAAATACATAATGATAAAAAGGAGTTAGTTACATCCAGTGACAGGACCCAAAGAGTTTGAGTTCAATACCTGGTTAAGGTGGAGGAGAACTTGGAGAGAGGAATTAACAGGAGATAACTGACATCCATTAGACATGGCACGTGGAACTAGAACAGTCTACCCCAGCGAGCAAAATAAAGGGTTCAGTTTGACATTCCAACCACCTGAAGAAGGCCGGAGTGTACAATGGCCAAAACATTGTGATAAATATGGCAACAAAGATGAGGACAATAGTCCGAATAATGTAAATAGTGAATAAATAAACATAATAATAAAAACGTTTTTGACAGTAAGAGTGAAGGTAAAAGTAAGATAAAAACAAGAATAAAGGTTATATATTAAAAATGGTAATAAGATAATATAAATAATAGATTAGCAAAAATGTTAAATGTGTTACAGCCTAATTAACTACAATAATGGACATTCTGTAACTGCCACCACCATGTGGTGAACACGATCTATGAACATAGTGGTAGCAGTTACAGGATGTCCAGAGCATGGGTCATCTTTGAGACTCTCTTCCCCACCTAAATTCAGCTGCTTACTTTTGCACTGCTGATAAAGCTGGAGCATTACTCCCTAATATAGCAACTATGTTCATTGACGTGTTCACCACATGGTGATGGGTGACAAGTAATTGATTATAAATCAAATAGCCAATGCTATTAGGATATCCCAAGAGAGAGTTGAGAATATTCTGCACAATGAACTTGGCATGATGAAGGTTTCTTCTCGATGAGTGCCACATCTTCTGACACCTGATCAAAAGCACAGACTGAGCACATCATTGGAAAATCTGACATTGTTTGAGGCAGATCCAGTTGGTTTCCTTGAATGTTTCCTAGCTCAGGATGAGTGTTGGGCTCATCTCTGAGCCAGAAACAGAGAGACAATCCATGCAGTGGAACTCCCTCATCACCTGCTCCAAAGAAGGCCAAGGTCATTCCATCCGCAGGAAATGTAATGGCCTCAGTTTTTGAGGATGTAAAAGGCATTGTGTTTATTTATATTAAAAAGGGCTACACTATCAATGGAGAGTACCATGCCAACTTGTTGAATCACTTACAAAAGGCTATCAAGATTAAATACCCAGGAAAACTGATAAAAGGAGTTTTGTTTCATCAAGACAATGCTTCTGTACACAAGCCCTTGATTTCAATGGCTGCTGTGTACGACTGTGGCTTTGAACTGGATGATTACCCTCCCTATTCTCCTGATTTGGTCCCATCTGACTATCATCTGTTCTCCAACATGACAAAAAGACTTGGCTGGGATCAAGTATCACAGTGATGATGACATCATATCTGCTGTTTATGACTTTTTTGACCTACAGGATGAAATACTCTTGACCAATGGGATCTAAGAACTACATCACCAAAGGAAGAAGTGAGTGAGTGCAAGTGAGACTATGTTTAAAAAATAAAATTCAGTTGGTCACATTTGTTGAGTGTATCTTGGTCAGCCTATAAAATTTTCAACTGACCCTTGTATCTTTTCAAGCTACCATAAAATGTTAGTCCCTAGTATTTGTGTTATAAAATAATTAGTATTTTGTGCTATTTCCAAACTAGTATATAATTACAATAGTATATGATACAACCTGTTATATTGTGTGCTTGCAGTACCGTTTAGTTTGTAATACAATGCATCTGATTCAAACTAAAATGGTGGCACCCTTGAGAATTCATTGTCAGTGTCTTTTTGTCATTTTATTCCTGTAAATAGCAATTTACTTTTTTTTTGTACAAGGCCCGGGAGCCACCCGAGGTAGAGGGTTACAGACTAAGAGGCACAGTTTATACAGTTATGTGGAAGTTGGTTCCACAGTGCTGCAGTTTGCAGAAAGAAGCTGCTTGAGTGGAATTTATATCTCACCAATGGAATACAGGAATGAGGGTGATTTACTACAATGTGTGTGGCATGGTGGTTCTTGACCATGAAGATTAGAACAGGTGGAAGTGTAGTTCGGCTGAGCACTTTCCAAACAAATAGCAATAGACTTGTGACATTTTGTCTGTGAGAAAAGGGATGTTTTTTTACTAAATGGGCCAGTACAGCCAGGCAACAAGTTATAACAATGCAGCAATGAAAGTATTAAATATAAAATTGTTATATAGTGATAACACAGACCAAATTTTACAGTGGTAACAAACCATCTGCAGAACGTCCAATTGAAAGGTAATCAGGGTGCATCTTACGTCAACAGATAATTAATTTGATTGTGTTTAATTTGTGGCCTTATGTCACCAGTAATATGAACACCACCTTGTGACTCACAAAATAAATTAGGATAAAAGAATGTATTTGGGAAAGAGAGAAAGGAAGATGAAAGAGATAGAGAGACATGTACACTAAAAGAAAGAGATAAAGATAGAATGCAAAAAAATAGATGAAGACAGAGACATAAACAGAGAGAGAGAAAATGAAATATAGACAAAGACTATTCGGCAGGTAAAGAAAAACAGACAAAATCAGAGAGAGTGAGAGAAATATACACCTGTAAGGAGAGATGTGCAGAGCTGAGAGAGAGATGTACACACAGAGGAAGAAACAGAGAAATGAGAGATACACACACACACACACACACAGAGGGAGAGGTGCAGAAAAATGAGAGTGGCATGCAGGAGAGATGTAGAGAGATAAGAAAAACACACACAGATAGACAAACACAGAGATGAGAGTGATACACTACACAAAGAGGGAAAGAAAAGGAGAGATGAGAGTGATATACAGAGGGAAAGAAAAAGAGAAATTAGAATGATATATATACACAGAGGGGAAGAAACAGGAGAGAGTCTCTCTCACTCACACACACAGGTGCAGAAAAATGAGAAATGAGACACGTATACAGAGGGAGGGAAGGACACAGACAAAAATAAAAAAAACTAAGTGAAAAAGACATGTAAAGAGATGAGATACATACAAAGATGTAAAAAGACAAATATATGGATGAAAAAAAGAAAGAAAGAAAGGGAGAAAGAAAGAAAGAAAAGAAAGAAAGAAAGAAAGAAAGAAAGAGAGAAAGAAAGAAAGAAAAGGAGAAAGAAAAAAGAAAGAAAGAAAGGGAAAGAAAAAGAAAGAAAGGAGGGAGAAAGAAAGAAAGGGAAAGAAAGAAAGGAGAAAGAAAGAAAGAAAGAAAGAAAGAAAGAAAGAAAGAAAGGGAGAAAAAGAAAGAAAGGAGAAAGAAAGAAAGGAAAAAAGAAAGAAAGAAAGGAGAAAGAAAGAAAGAAAGGAAAAGAAAGAAAGAAAGGAGAAAGAAAGAAAGAAAGGGAAAAGAAAGAAAGAAAGGAGAAAGAAAGAAAGAAAGGGAAGAAAGAAAGAAAGAAAGAAAGAAAGAAAGAAAGGGAAAAGAAAGAAAGGGAGAAAGGAAAAGAAAGAAAGAAAGGGAGAGAAAGAAAGAAAGAAAGGGAGAAAGAAAGAAAGAAAGGGAGAAAGAAAGAAAGAAAGGGAGAAAGAAGAAAGAAAGAAAGGGAGAAAGAAAGAAAGAAAGAAAGGAGAGAGAAAGAAAGAAAGAAAGAAAGGAGAGAGAAAGAAAGAAAGAAAGAAAGGAGAGAGAAAGAAAGAAAGAAAGAAAGGAGAGAGAAAGAAAGAAAGAAAGGAGAGAGAAAGAAAGAAAGAAAGGAGAGAGAAAGAAAGAAAGAAAGAAAGGGAGAAAGAAAGAAAGAAAGAAAGGGAGAAAGAAAGAAAGGGAGAAAGAAAAAGGGAGAAAGAAAGAAAGGGAGAAAGGGAGAGAGAAAGGGAGAGAGACAGGGAGAGAGACAGGGAGAGAGAAAGGGAGAGAGACAGGGAGAGAGAGGAGAGAGACAGGGAGAGAGAAAGAAAGAAAGACAGGAGAGAGAAAGAAAGAAAGACAGGGAGAAAGAAAGAAAGACAGGGAGAAAGAAAGAAAGACAGAGAGAAAAGATAGGAGAGACAGGTGGGATTTGCTTTTTTTCAGGTTATCAACCATTTGTGGGTTATTTAAAGCTAAAACATTCTTGGAGATTGTAAGAATAATTCTTTATTTTTGAAAGTGAATATGATATTAACAATTTTTTTTTTAAATAAAAATGATTTTTCCAGATACAAGTCCTACTATTTAGCCCATAGCTGGGGGAGAAGATGAATTCATACTAACAGGTAAGAAAAGGGAAGGTAAAAATGCAGACAGCAATAACAAGATTTATTACATTTTTACTCAAATGTATTAATATGACAAAGTGAAGCCCAAGAACGAAAAATTCTATTAGCACTGTACAATAGGGACTGCAACCAGAAGTAAATTAAGCACTCCAGATCATGAATATATAAGAAGAAGTAGCGAGAACAATAAAAGAGGAAACAAGAAGACAGTAGATAACAATTGACATTGCATTTAAATTTTTGAAAATCAAGGTTGGCTGGAAAGCAAGAAGCCAGAAGAGAGTCCCAGAAGCAAGAAATGTAAGAAAAGAAACTGTTACATCGAGCTTTATCTGTAAAATGGCGAAATCTTGTTGCCAATCTAGTACTGCATTTAAATCTAGGTACCATAGAAAAAAGGTCATCCAAACAATTACCATGAAAGTATTTATAGAAAAGGTACAGGGAAGCTAGATTATTACAGTGGTAAAGTGAAGCCAATATGTCAGCTCAGGACCAATAACATTGCAGATTCTTTGAATTTTATCAAGAAAATTTAAATATATAGCACGAGTACTAGACAATATGTAGTAGCAATTAAGCCCCCTAGGGAAACTGAAAAAGAAAAAAAAAAACAACTCAGATGTGTTTTCTTAATCCCAATTTTTTTTTTTTCAAATTCATAATCTGGAGTACATAATCACTAATAGTATACGAAAAAAGAACTCTAGATTATGAATTTAAATTTTCTTTTACTTAAAATGTAAAAGAAAAAAAAATCTAAGTGGTATGAGCTTGTTTTGGCTTCCATGAAAGGGATCAATTTACAATGAATTTACATAGAAAACTGGACCCTCCTATTAACTTTTATAAAATTAAATAATTTTTTTTTATATTCACAATCTGAAGTGCTTAATATATAAAAATGCCTATTGTAAAACTCCAAAATTCCATATAAAATATCTGTTGTGAATTACTCAATAAACAAAATACGAAGCTCAACAGGAAGAGATTGTTAGACATGTGGATTACAGACAAAATGGCAGATATATACAATGTTGTACTCCATGATACATTTATTTATTTAGTAAATGAACTCCTATAAATGTTTATGATAGATACTGGTACAGCACTAACATTTTGAACAAATTTAGGGTGAATATTATAAATTATAACAAGTCATAATAATCCCTTGAGGAGAAACGGTCAGATTTTGTAGCTGCCTTTCTCATTTCTCTTTAACTAGTATAAAAAAAGATTTTTTTTTTTTTTTTTAATCATTTCACGCCAAGCAAAGCAATAAACCACTAAGACACAAGGGGTTACTGAGAATATGAGAAAAAATACTATTAAGAGAGAGAATAATAAAAAAACAACAAGATAACAATTGACATGGCATTGAAATTTTTGAAGATTGTAGGTGGCATGGAAGCAAAAAACCAGAAAGGAATTCCACAAGCAAGAAGTTACATCTAGCTACTTCATGAGTAAAATGATGAGACCTAATTGCCAATCTAGTACTACATTTAAATTCATGTGGTCAAGGTACCAAGCAGGAAAGCTCATCAGAACAATTGCCATGAAAATATTTATAGAAAAGTTACATGGAAGCCACATCAAAATGGTAGGAATTTATTGAAGATGCCTGGTTAAGACTGATAACATTAAAGACTCTTCTTTGCATTTTGCCAAGAATCTCAAGATATACAACAGGAGCACCAAACCAGATATGGCAGCAGTATTCAATGCAAAGACAAATGGTAGATTTATAAATGTGCTGATAGATTCTGGCAAGAAATAATTGTCTCACACAACACAGTGAACCAACTTTCCTAGCAGCAGACCTAGTAATTGATCCAATATAATGCAGTGATAATATTTTATCTTATCGCTTAAGGACACATGGCACAGTGGATAAAGGTGTTGGTTAGATCCAGTTACAGGACCCAAAGAGTGTGAGTTCAATACCCAGTTAAGGCAGTGGAGAACTTGAAGAGGAGAATTAACAGGAGATAACCGACATCCATTAAACATGGCACATGGAACTAGAACAGTCTACCCCAGGGTTCAGTTCAACATTCCAACCACCGGCCAAAATATGGAGACAAAGATGAGGACAATAGTCTGAATAATGCAAATAGTGTAAAATTTCAGAGTCATAGGCAGATATCAATAACATAGCACAATTTTCTAACTTCACATTTGTAAATAACAAAAACTAATTAATTGTAATAAGTCAGGGATCAATTTATTAGATTGTTTATTTACACTATTATTGTTGGTTCCAATTCTAACTGGAATGTCTACAAAAAGTTCAGACTTCCCAGATTTATAGACAAAACCCACAGATGCATGCTGGGATTTCTTACAAGCCAATAGGCTACTTCTCAGTTTTATCCGACTTAGTTCTGTTCTTTCTTGAAGTCAGAACGCTGTGATCGTTTGTTTATACCCCCCCTTTTAACAACATTCTTAGTATGTAAACTTTTTTCCTTATTACTGTTGCTTTGTCTACTTTTGTCCTCCATGTAATGTTTACATGCTTAATATTATTCTTGTTCTGTTTTTATCTTTCTTTTGATATGTTTATTGGAAATTTTGTCAGTTCTCTTTGTTTAGTATTTCTACCAATTACATTTAACCATGACTTTTGTAATAAGTTAAAATATTACTAATGGTTTATACATTTGACTTGTAAATATTTAATTGCCAGTATGCATTTCAAATTGTTTCAGCAACAGTATTGATATCAATTTCTTTATTACTGTTGCTTTGCTTACTTTTGGCCTGAATATATTGTTTGCATGTTTGATATTATTTTTCTTCTGTTCTTTCTTGACTTAAAGTCAGAATGCTGTGATCACTTGTTTGTATCCCCTTTTGTGTGTTAACATTATTCTTAGTTTGTAAACTTCTTGCTTTATTACTGCTGATTTGCATATATTATTTGCTTGCACTGTTCTTTTCTTTCTCTTGTTTATTGTAAACTTTGTTAATTTTGTTTGTTGAGCATTTCTGCCAATTACACTATAATTATATTATTTATTGGAAACATCAGCTAGCAAACTTTTATAAAATGGTAAATAAGGATTTCCTTAGATTTGGTTCACATATTTTAATAATTTAGTAAACATTTATAAATTTATGAATAAAAAATGTTTTTATATTTTTTTTTCATAAATTGGTAAATATTGCATTGCATTAGTTTTAATACAATTGTATTAGTTTTTAGAATTTTTTTTAAACGTCTTCATGCAACATATTTTGTTCTTTAGGTCCTTTCATCATCAGACAAGTTTATGCTTGATGAAACCCTAAAGAACAAAACATGTCACAAAAAAACTTTTTCTACTGCATCATACATCTTTCCCGCAAAATTTTTCAATATGTAAAAGTTTATATATTGCAATCCTATAATGTTATAAATATAAAATCATTATGGTAAATAATCGAATAAATAAATATAGGGGAATTGAAAATAACTCCCTATTTTATGTATGATGGACTCTCCCATCTTGTAAAAATTATAGTTAGACAGGAGAGTCCATCATATATAAAATAGGAAGTTACTTTTCAATCACTCTGTAGTGATTAATATTATTGTTGTCAATTCTCAAGAACAAAAAAAAAGTATAAATTCACTTTTATCATAATGTTTACGTTTTATTATAATTCTAATAATAGCTTTTTAAAACGATAAACATTGGCAAAAGTGAAGGTAGTTGAAATAATAAATGTCAATGAAAAAAAAAAAATAAAAATCGCCATTTTGACCCACCATTTTTTTTTTTTTTTTTGCAGGCATGAGGGTCCAAGTTTTCCCATACTTCTTTACAAAATTTGGATGTTCTCATGGTTCAACCAGCATTTCACTTGGGAACAATGTAGAATAATAAATTAGATGTATACTTAACTCTGTACAGGACAATATATTCATACATTTGTATTAACTGGAGACAAGAGAGAAAGAAAAAAAAAAAGGGGTACTCTAAAACGTGAAAAGGAACAGGAAGTCGGATATTTGGTGAGAAACCTGTTGGAGGAAGTATGGTGGAAAGCGTATAAAGAGTTAAGACACTCACTAACCTATTTTACTGGGACCGTAATCAAATTCTTTCTCCCCTTAATTATTGGTGGGTCATGTATTACATTAACACATTCACTGCTACCATGGATATTTGAATGCTTATATGGCACGTTTAGGAGGGAAGGGGCATATTCTACAAATAAATCAAAGATTGCTTTTTTCACTGCAAATTATTCATTATATCATATCCAAGTACTTTACAAAAAATTAGAGCTGATTACACAATATTTCAAGCTCAATTTAGGTATATAGTTTGTAACCATGCAATGAGATGAGGTAACAAACCGTAGATTTGTCTGCGGAATATCATTACATTATTGTTACATAATTATAGTGAAATCATTAAGGTTTTTTTTGTCAAAATAATTTTATTTTTGGTCTTATATTAATTTAAAATATTCCTTTTTATAGGCTTTATTTTTGAAATGGAATAAGACCATTCTAAATTTTAAAATTTTACTATTGCCCATCAAAATGACTGGAAGAAAGCGATCTAAAAACAATGGAAAAGAGAGGTAACAAAGTTTAAAAGAAATAGCTCCAGTTTGTTTAACTTAGGAAATTTAATATTGCAGCCAAAGTAATCTAAAATGCTGCCAATAAAAAATTGAAAAATACCCAACAACAAATCAAATATGGCATCAAAATTTATATTATTTTTATTTATTTGTTATGTAACTAAATACATAATTGCCAACAATGTTTCTGTAAAACTTGATATTTCCTGTAATAAATTCTTAATAAACATTATTATTTTACTGAAGTGTAAGGTAGTCAGTTCTACATTTACTATTTCTGATGGCTAACCATGAAAAGAAATGCTGATCAAAACTGCCTGAAACCTTTAAGTGCATACTGCCACAAAATTATCAAATGTTGGATACACCTCTACTCTGCCAATGTCATCCATTGTTAGAGATAGCATTAGAAAATGTTATACAAGAAGTTTTATTTTGGTGAATAAAATTAAAAACATTCATAGTTACATTGGATGTTTCAACTCTTGTATCTATATTTTTGGTAGGTATTATTAGAAATTGCTATGTAAAACTATTTGTGCTTTATTTTTGTTTTTAATCATTTTTCACCCTAAGAAAGGCAATAATGGCTACTAGGATGTAAAGTGCTACTGAGACTGAAAAAACAGAGGACAATGACAAAACAGGATTCAAGAAGATAGATGACAATTGACATTGCATTTAAATTTTTGAAGATCCTAGTTGACAAGAAAGCATGAAACCAGAAGAGAGTTCCACAAGCGAGAAGTGCAGAAGAAACTATTAGCATAGAACTTACAGTTTCAACAGTGAAATGATAAATACAATTCATTAACACATTTACAACTAGATTTTTAATAATATCTCTACCAAAAACAGATGACATTATGTAAAGTTCAAATATCCATGGTATTAGGGAATGTCTGAATAAATTTAAGTTTATTTACCAAAAATATAGCATAAGTAGTCGTATATAACAATTTCTAATTGTTTTATGTATTTATATATACTTTTAAAATGTGTGTTTTTAAACTAATGATATATGATACTTCTGCACAACCAAAACACAGTAATACTTATGCATGACTGACATATTTTAGATTTTTTCAGGTCCTTATAAATATCAATATAAAGCGGAAAGAGTAGTCATCCAACATAGAGAGCAGTCGTAGAGTTCTTGAGTATACTGAGCAGAAAGAGAACAGTCATCAAACTCTTGGTCATGTCAAGCAGAAAATAATTGGATCATTATTATAGGGGTGAGTATGAACTTAGGACAACTACACTATTTTTTTTTATAAAGGTATCATTACTTTATGCAGAATTAGTAATCTTTTCATATATTTTTCTCTATCAATGTTGATAGGATTTTCTTTCCAGCTTTTGTAACAATCATAACAAGACTGGATCATTATTATAGGGGTGAGCATGAACACAAATCCTAGATTATTTTTTATAAAGATATTATTTTATGCAGCAGTTAGTAATCTTTGCATTCCTTTTTTAATATTGATATGATTTTTCTTTTTAGTTTTTTGTCAGAAACAAAAACACACAAATCAGATCATTATAAACAGGATAAGTGCAAACACTAACACAACATAATTAAGTTGCAAAGTGGAATGGAAATTGCTTTATTCCTCAAGTTAAAACAAGTTGATCGGTACTGCTGTAACAAAATGCACGCTACAATCTGCTGTTTTTGCTGGGTTTCAATTAAAGACAGACACACAAGCAGAAAATGATTGCTATGATGTAAAAAATTATTTGCAAATAAATAACTACAGTGTAATTAGCATTTAATATGCCTGGAGTTATATCCCTTTAAAATTTGGATCAATATAGATATTTTGAAAAAAAATAAAAAATATTCATTTGTTATATAATTGTTACATTTGGTGTATGAAATGTGTATTCATATGTAACAACTATTATGGGATAATGAAGAATCAATAATAATATAATTAATATAAATTAAGTATTGCTACTCACGCTTGTTAAAGTAACTTTCTGTGGGATATTTTCCAGAGAATTGGCTTCATTCTTATCTTTCTGACAAGAACGAATTTCATCCAAGTTCATGTAATCACTAACAGACTCAACAGTTTTTAATGAAAGGGGAGAGTCCATAGAATTTGGTATGAATGAAGATTGACCACCACAATGATAACTCTTTGGTCGGTCAGACTTCCAAGTGCTTGGTGGACCTTTTCCAAAGGTGCTGCAGCCTCCAACCCGCATTGTTGGTTCCAGGTGTTCAGAGTTACCAACAATTACCCGGATGTGGTTGGCGGAAATATTATTGGTACCAAAGATAGATAAGTTGGCATTTTTTGTTGTTGGTGACACACAAAACGAAGGAGCATTTGCATCACCTGAACTCAGAGTTCGGTGAAAAGTCGGTCTGCCATAATCAGATCTTACTGCTGGAGCCACAGGAGCAGGTAGTTTTCTGGGTTTCTCAATATTGATGCATTGAATTTCACAGAGTTTACCCTCCGGAAACTCAAGAACCTCTGGGTTTTTTACTTCTGAAGGGTTTTCATCCTCGGTTTCAAATGAGTTTTGATCCTGATTATCACAAGGTTGCTGATCAAGACTTTTAGAAACATTTTCATCTACATTCTGGTTTACATTTTCATCCTTGTTTTCATTCTCGTTTGGATTTGTGATCTGCGTGTTTATAATAGATAAATCACAGGTTAATCCAGGGTCATAGTTCTCAAGAATTTGAACATAACAAGCAGGAACATGGAAACTATTTCCGTCTTTCATGTATTTAACCTGCCACCAATCTGTGGAGGCTTTGCATTTCAATTCATAAATATCTCCTGTAGTCATGGTAATTTTCTCTCCACTGTCATAATTGTATTCGTAATCATACAATGCTTTCAAGTACACTGGTTTAACATTCTCATCTTTATTCTCTACTGTCTCTTCAAATTCTTTCACTGCAATCTCTTCATGTTCTTTACCATCATCTCCTTTTGATACATCTTCACTGGCATCAGATACAATGTCCATTGGTTCACTGACTTCATGGTTTTGAGTCAATGTTGTTGGAGACAAACTTTCAGTTACAAAATTTTGGCAATCTGGACTTGTTGTCATGGTTATATGTAAGCGTCCCACAGGTATAGAGAATTTATTTCACAAATACCTACTGTCATCTGGCCGTTCACTCAGTAGTATTACTTGTTAAACTGAACAGTTTTTTTCTTTTTTTTTTTAAACAATGTTTTAAGAAAAAAAAAAAAAGAAATCCTTTCTGTTTTGATATGGAAATCTAAATTGTTTCAAAGTTCATTGCTGTATTTTTGATTAGGTTTACCTGGAAAATCCATTTCTGTTGCACCTGAAAGACATCAAAAGAAGAAATATTAAATTATAATTCTTTATATTGTTGTTATAAATAATATTAGGTGGAATAGTAGGTAATTTCTGCTTGATTTGTTAACTTTATTCTTAAAAAAAAAAAGAAAGAGAAGGGGCAGAGAGAGAGAGAAAGAAAAAAGAGAGAGAGAGAAAAGAGAGAGAGAGAGAAAAAAGAGAGAGAGAGAGAAAAAAGAAAAGAGAGAGAGAGAAAAAAAAAAGAGAGAGAGAGAGAAAAAAAAAGAAAAGAGAGAGAGAGAAAAAAAAAAGAAAAAGAGAGAGAGAGAAAAAAAGAAAAAGAGAGAGAGAGAGAGAAAAAAGAAAAGAGAGAGAGAGAGAGAAAAAAGAAAAAGAGAGAGAGAGAAAAAAAAAGAAAAAGAGAGAGAGAGAGAAAAAAGAAAAAGAGAGAGAGAGAAAGAGAAAAAAAGAAAAAGAGAGAGAGAGAGAGAAAAAAAGAAAAAGAGAAAAAAAGAAAAAGAGAGAGAAAAAAAGAAAAAAGAGAGAGAGAGAAAAAGAAAAAAGAGAGAGAGAGAAAAAGAAAAAAGAAAATAAAAGGAAAAGAAGAATAAATATAATAATTTATTCAGTTATATATTCACCATTTTTTGCAATGACTTGTTGTGATTTATTCACCAGGTTTTTAAAATTTTAAGGTAATTAAACATAGAATAGGCTGTGTTAAATGTAGTTTTTCCCAACACTACAAACTGATACAAGACCAAAACATTAATGAAAACCTTGTGGTCTATTGAACTAAAAAAAAAAAAAAAAAAAAAAAAAATATCATCACTAAGAACTATGTCAGATAACAGAAACTAACAATGGCCGGTGCAAAGGTCTCATGTCACCACCCCCATGAATCTATGATACAGGGACCCTCCACTCTACTACATCTCAATTTTCATAAGGTAATATTCATATAAAATACAAATTTTATTGTAACCTAATTATGCACAATAATGGATCATATGCAATATAGGTGAACAATTCAATTAGGAAAATTGGAAATAAATACAATGTATCTAAATACAAATTAGAGACGTCATAATTGATCATTCCATCTTAAATAAATCAACAATGTTTTGCAGCAATTTTTAACAGTTGAATTTAAAAAGTTGAGTAATTTTAACACATTCAACATTATGGATGAAAAATGGTGAATTTTTCATAGTGTTTTTTTCAGACTTGGCATGAGCAAAACAAATTCACAGATTTGAACAAAAAAAAAATAAATAAATAAAATAAGAAAGAATGAAGTCAAAATCTACAGAAACTTTTTGTCTTTTAATAGTCAGTTGTGCTTGGTTTAATTTGCAACATTATATAAATGTAAGTAGAAAACAAAAGAAACAAAAATGTTGATAAGATAAATAGAGTCACAGAGCACTGCCCAAAATCAGTCTCAAGTCAAGGGTTTCAAGGATAGTACGCACCAGCCCTGAAAGCATATCACTTGACTAATTTCAACAGCAGCAATAATTAAAAATGGATAGCACATATAACTCAAAGAGAAAATAATGACATAATGTAAATGTTGACTTTCCACACTACTTCAAACAAAAGGTTAGGAAGGGAACCTCCATCAATACTGTAAAGAGCTATAGCAGTTACTGACCTTCAGAAACCTATTTTCTGGAAAAATTCTTTTCAGAGAAAGATTTTATAAAATTTCAACTGAATGTAGCACTGGTTGCTTGGTCATTGAATGCTAAATGTTTCCTTATAAGGAAATGGCTAATATTACAATTATCATTAGGCAGAGTTATAAACAATTTCTGTTTTTATTTATCAACTTTATTTTTCAAAATACAAAGTATACTTTATTAAATTGTATATTCACTATTATTTGTAATGACATGTTGCCACTGATCAGTCAACTCTTTTATGCCTTTCGAGTAAAATTTCACAGGTTTTGATGTTATTGATTGATTTGGGGTTTTTTTTTTTAGTTTATCAACCCTTTGTAGGTTATTTAAAGCCAAAAAATATTTGGGATTGTAAGAATAGTTCTTTTTTTGTTTTTGCAAACAAATAATGCATTTACAGTTTTTGGAGAATACCAATTATTTTTTTTGTCCTACTATTTAACCCATAGCTGGAGGGAGGTAAATGACTCATACGGAAATGTAATGGACCTATCTGGAATTTGAACTTAGCTATCAGATTTTTCATTCTAAGCCACTATCCATTATACCACTCACATATCTGGATTTGATGTGAAAAAGAAAAATTTCACCAAAGGATTTTGCAGCATTAAAAAAAAAAAAAGAAGGTAATAATCACTTGCTACAAGGTCAAGTGAATATGGCAGGTGGCATAGAGCAGTTACAAAATTTTTCTTATGTTATTCTTGATGTATGTAACCTTGCATTGTTATGGATTAATTCGTTTTCTACAACTTACCAAACCTTTGCAAGTTATTTAGAACCAGAAAATATTTTTAGATTGTAGGACATTTTTTTTAAAGATGATTTAGTGAATGTTCTCGTATTTGGGCGACAGCTACCCAGTCCTCACTTTCCAGTTTTGATAGAGTCCAAAAGCTTCTCCTTGTCCTTGTAGGTGACAACTTATTGTCCATCCTCCAACCTCACTCACAGGCAGGATTTGACAAGCTCTATTGCTACTTCCATGGAAAGTGCTCAGGCAAACTGCATTCCATGGTTCCACCAGTTCTATCATTCACAACTAAGACCCAACATGCAAACCAATCACATTCCCTCTGTATTCTATTGGTGAGAAGAAAGTTCAACTCTAGTAGTTCCTTCCCACGAACAACTGTTCTGTGGAATTGCCTCCCAAGAGGATGTTTTCCCGATCACTACAATCTTAACCTGTTCATGTCTAGAATTAACTGTTATCTTCCTCGCCTATCTTCTTCACCTATCCGTTTTCCTCAAGTGGTCCTTGAGCATTGTATAGGGTGAATATAACGAACCTAATTGAAATTTGAACTTGTTTCTCCAATTAACAATTCTGGGCCATTTTTCATTACACCATCTGCACATCCAAGCTTATAGCACCTGGTATTCCAAAATATTTTCCTGTGTTATTCTTACTGTATGATGATATGTGTTGTGATAGAGATTTTTCCTTTAATCCACCATGTATGCTGCCACTGCTGTACAAAAAATATGAAGTCTGTTGAAGGACTCTAAATTTATTCTTAACTGCCATGTATGATTAGTAGTTTTGATGGTACATTAGTCATTACAACTGGTTACACAAAACAGAAATTTAGTAATGGATTTGAGATTTCTGTTTTTCAGGAAATTTACTATGGATAATTACTTATGCCTATTTCACCCTAATGGCTTGTATTGGAGCAAAAGATGATGGGAATAAGAGGAAAAGAACAACTTTGGAGTTATCACAAAAAGTGGAAATTTTAAACAGACTAGATGCTGGTGAAAGTTAATTGTAACTAATGGCTGAGTTCAACATAAGAAAGTCAACATTGTATGATATAAAATCTTCCAAAGAAACTACTCTCCAGTGTTTATACTGTCACAATGAACAAGGAACTAAAAAAACATGATGTGATGAAACCTGGGTTGAAATTGAAAATGCTATTGAAAAGGTTGTCAGTTTTATGGAAAGAAAGCCAGCACTAAGCTATGTTGATTGCAACAGTGCACAGAGTTAAAGTGTCTCTTGTTTAAAAAATTTCAAGAACAAAAGCAAAACGAGATGCGGAAATGACATTAGTAGAGAAAGAATCATCATGCAATGGCAATTAAAAAAAAAAACACATTACATTATTTGTTTTACATATGTGGCATACTTAATTAAATGAATTACATAATTTATTTCTTTTTCCTTAAAATCAATTCCATTATATTTCACTCACCATTAGCTTATTTTGTTTACTATAAAACATTGAGAATAAATGTTAAACCTGATTTCAGTTGTTTTATTTTAGTCTAAATATAACCCCTCACATCCGAACTTTGTAACCAATTCCTCATATCCGGAAAGCCTTCTTAGTCCAGTTGCAGGGATTCTACTGTAGTTTTCTTTTGGATTTCTTGTCTCAGGAACTCCTTTCTGGTTTCTTGTTTCCCTGTTTCAAAAATTTAAATGTAACATCAGTTCCCCATATTCCGTTTTCCTGAATCATGTCCTTTCTCCTCACTAAAATCTTCTCATTTGCTTTCACTTCCAGTAACGCTTGTGTCTTAGTGGCATTATTGACTTGTTTGGAATGAAATGATTAAAACAATAAAAAACAACAACTATAAACATTATATATAGTGGATATGGTTAGAGTTTTAAACAGTGTTTTTTAATACCTACTAGCCTGAAGCATTTGAAATTAATAAAGAAAATTTATAGTAATAAAAAAAATGACAGAGTATAAATAAAAAAAAAACCCCAGAAATTACAATTTTGTTTATAAGCAGCTGGACTCAAATTTGACAACTACCCCTTACTGATGTCAAAATGGTTTAAGCAACAAAAATAGTAAAAACCTCTTCTAGTTTCATCTTCTATCTTAGTGGCTTTATCCCCTTGCTTGGGGTGAAATGATTAAAAAAAAAAAAAACGTTATTATTTTAAACTGTATCCAAGAATTTCACTAGTTTAGTTACATTGTAATGTCTTTTCTATTTATTAGTCCCAAGTATGAAAAAAATTGGCCAAGTTGGACCTTCATGCTTGCAAAACAAAAAAAACAAAAAACGGCATGTCAAAAGCATGATTTTTCCCTTGACACTGCTATTATTTTAACTACCTTCACTCCTCGGCAATTTTTATTGTTTTTAAAAAGCAATGATTAGAATTGCAATAAAATTTAAACATATGAAAGTGAATTTATACATTTTCTTTGTTATTGAAAATTTATAACAAAAATAATAAACATTATTTATTAAATTGTTTACTTTCACTATATTATTTATTTAAATGGTTGGCAAAATATTGGCTAATTGCTAACTGATTCAAATTTTATAAAAATGCTAAAGAAGGATTTCCTTTTAAATG